GGGGGGGGGGGGGGTCAGTCTCTCTCTCCCCTACCCCCTGTTCTGGAGATGGGGGGATGCTGGTTGAAGCAGCAGGAGTTACTCTCCTCGGGGAACACTTTAATAAAGCTGAAATACCATTTTACGAGAGAATAAACGTGAATCCCTGGCGGGGATGCTTTGGAGAATGCAGGTAGGGGAATCCTCTAAATTAAAATGTTGGACACTGGGTAATTTCTCAGCCAAGTCAGCCTCTGCTGTTAGACCCCGGGGAACCTGATGCCACAATGCAAAATTATACCAATATATTTGATCTGAAAAGGTTCTTTTCTCACGCAAATCCGTCCCCTCCCAAATATCTTTAGAAACCTGGAATCTTTTTTGTTTTGTTTTTTTTGAGACAGGGGAAGAACGCTTTTTTCCTCCATGGAAACACCAAAGCAACAAAGCTTCTTGCTTAGCAGAGGGGAGGAGTGCTTTGTAAATAAAAATGTTATTTAATACTCCACCTGAAGTTATAATCCTGATGTTATCTACTTTTTGCTGTTAGACTTCTTTCTTTTTCTACTGTGCAATATGTTACTGCTGATTTTTAAGTTATTATTCATTGAAATTCCGGATAGGAGAGCTCAGGAAAGTTTAGGAGTCACCAGGACTCTAGAATGTTTTCATGAGTTCTGCAGCTATGTCAGAACACTTTAGAACTTTAAAAAAATGTTTCTTTTTCAAAGGCAGGGGGAGGGAAATCTTCCAACTACCCCATGCAATGCCTTTTTCTCTGATGTTATGGCTCTATTAATATTTGTCTCTTCTAGCTTTGTCTCTGAATATTTTGACATGGAAGTACCTTTTCTGTTGACATGTATAAACATCTTTTAGATATTATATCTCAGTTGAAATATGAGAGTTGAAATTATGTTTCTGTTTCCCCTGCCCAGGCATGCTTGTACGCCTGCCATCTGCCCAAGAGTAAACTTTTGTGAAATAGTTTGGGAACACAGTAAGCCAGTTCTACTATTTTTTTCAGGAAATACAAGTTGACACATTTTATTTTGACAGTTATAAAAATATCCCCATTTACAAGCATCTATAGGTGCATCTTGTTAAAATAATAACTTTAAAAAAACCCCAAAAGTGTTTTAGCTTCTGTTTTAGTGGGCATACTTGATGCAATAGCTTGCACACTATTTCTAGCTTAAGAAAACATTCAGTAAAATAGGAAAGATGCAGATAATCATACTTTTTATCCATATATGTTCAAAATGCTTTAAAAAAGAGGGCAACTTTCAATAAATTGTGATATCAGGTGTTGATGAAATATATTAGCACATATTACTGTGATATTGTATGTTACTGATATATTGTTAATTTGCATATGTATATCCACACTGTAGCTTACTGAAAAACAGGCCATGTTATATCTATTGTAGAAAGTCGTAACACATGCAACTTATCATAATAATACTATAGATTTTTATAGCATTTTATAAACATGAATGAATTAAGTTTAAAAACTCCATGAGGCAGGTAAGTATTATTCCTGTTATCCAAATGAGGAAACCGAAGGCCTTTTAGGGCTTGTCCTCACTGCAGAGTTAACTAGAATTATAACTTGAATGTTGCCCCTTGAGTCCTGTACACATACACAAATCTGTAACTCGAGCATAGTTAATTCAAGCTGGCTGGCCTGTTGGGATGTAGGTTACTGCTCTGGTTAGCACGGCTCATCAGCTGTTTATAGCAGTGTTTCTCAACCGGGTTATGTGTACCCCTGGGGGTACGCAGAGATTTTCCAGGGGGCACATCAACGCATCTTGATCTTTGCCTAGTTTTACAACAGGCTGCATAAAAAGCACCAAAGTCAGTACAAACTAAAATTGAATATAGACAAAATGAGAAAGTAAGCAATTTTTCAGTTAGTGTGCTGTGACGTGTATTTTAATGTCTGATTTTGTAAGCAAGTAGTTTCTAAGTGAGGTGAAACTTGGGATATGCAAGGCAAATCAAGACTTCTGAAAGGGGTACAGTAGTTTGGAAAGGTTGAAACCTACTGGCTTACACAATAACTTTGTGCTGCTAATACACCATTCAATCCAACTTGAGTGTTATTTCATGGTGCGGCAGCTCTCATTCAAGCTCCGTTAACGTCAGAAGAGTTAACTCAAGTATAGATAACTCTGGAGTGAAGACATAGCCATATAGCAGTGGCCCCTGAACTTTTTAGGGTCATGCCCTCCTTACCCCTGTCTGCACCTTCCCCCTCCCCCCCGAGCCAGGGATGGGAGTGGGGTCACGGCTCCTGGGGCAGATGGGGAGACATGGATGGGGTAAGGGAGCGAGACTTAGAGTGGGTCTGGGGTTGGGAGTGAGCCAGGGCCGGGGTCAGGAACAAAGTCGCGGCGAGGGGCTAAGGTTGGGGGCGGGGGTGGAGCCACAGCTGAGCTGCGGTAGGTGCAGGGCTGCAATGAGGCTGAGGCCAAGGCCAAGGCCAGGAGCTGGGGATGTGGCTGGGGGCAGGGTCAGAACAGAGTTGGGGGTGTGTGGTGCTTCCTCTCCACCCCCTGTGGGGGCTGGCCTGGGCACCACTGCACCCCACTGAACGTTCCTCCATGCCCCCCTAGGGGGTTTTGCCCCACAGTTTGGGGACCTCTGCTATAGAGAGATGACGTGACTTGTAGAGGTCATGCAGGAAGTCTGAGTCAGAGCTAGGAAGACCCCAGCACTCCTGACTTGCAGTCCATTTTCTTCAATGTAAAAAGGAACTCGGTAGCTTGCCTCCATCCTTCGAGACACTTTTCATACCATTAAAGCCAGTTTATAAGCATTTGTTTAAAAACTTGAGTACAGTTCCTTACAAAGGCCATCTCTAGGGTACTATTATGGAAGATAAAATAATGTTCAGTGTTGTTTACTGGTGCATCATTATATATTTTCAGAATTGCAACCTACCTTTGCTTTCCTCGATTTTACTGAAAGTTAAATGTAATTAAAATATTATGAAAAAATTACACGTTGCAGAATTGTAGGTGATGACGATAGAGGGAAACTCTTTACCCCAGAGCAATATGAAGAATACAAAAGAAAAATGTTACCAATACGATTACAGAATAGATTGTATGTGAGCTGGAGATCACCAACTGGAATGGACTGTAAACTTGTGGGCCCGGAGACACCCTGTTTTTGTACCCATAGGTGAGGTTTTTTTTCTTGCTGCTGAACTTTTTTTACTTAGAAAATATAAAATGCTTATAAAAAGCACTGTCATACCAGTTACTAACTTGAGAATCTAGGGATGTAAAGATTGATGTAATTTAAGGAAGCATTTTTGAGACGAAAGAAATCATTCCATAGTGTTCCATAAATGCAGTTTATGCTTGGAACTGCGATTCTACCAGAGACTGAAGTGGTCAGAGATAAATTCAAGAGTTTAGAGCTTTGAAGCTACTGATATATTTACATTTATTGTGTGGATCACCCCATACTGCTTTGAAAATATATACTTGAAGTGGCACCAAAAATCAAATTTAAAGGTCTGCCATATTTTTTCACTAGGGTATAACTTAAAGCATTTGAAACCCCTCACAGCATTGAAAATTATCTTTTGTTGTGGCGACGACAGATGAAAGGAAACAGAACACCAGGTCTGTGGTAGCCGAAAAGCCTCTCTGCCCCCAGGAACTTTTCCTGGGGCTTTTATTCTTTACACTTCCCTGCTTACAACGCTTCTAACTGGTCACATTCTTGCGCATAGGGAAAGCATACAGTGTACAACAACATAAGATAGCAAACCCATATCTTGTGCACGTGAAAGCCAGCTGCAAGGAAGACAAACAGGCCAGCCAAGAAGTTTCCCAAAACACAGACGCTGAGATGAAGGTCACTCCTGCCTTGTAGCCATGGAAACAGTGTGCCGTAACCATGGGCTGGCAATTTGGGAGCTATGCATTCCTACATTTTGTGAGAATGAGCACTTTTTTTGTTTGTAGAAGAACTAAATGTATCTCTACATTAAACTTGAAATCTAAATTATAAATTCCTTAAAGAAATGTTTAAATGGTAAATGCTAAATGACTTTGAGCTATAATTGGTTGCAGTATTGCTGCAGCCGTGTTGGTATCTCACCGACCTTGTCTCTTTGAACTATAATGGTATTGTTATAGCCAATATGCATATGTACTAATTTATTTTTTTCTGTTTTTAGGTATAAACAACACAAAACAGATTATGAAGAGATTCCAAAAGATCGTCCTATTTGTGTACCCTGTCGAGTGAACCGTTGCCAGTGCAAATCCTATCACTATGTCCCTCTAAATGGCACTCAGCCCATTCGTTGTAGATGCAAGCACTTTGCTGATCAGCACAGTGCAGCACCTGGATTTTCCTGTAACTCCTGTAAGTTAGTTTCCTATAAATACACATGCAGTATTCTTTACTGCTAACTTAAGCATACGCTTTAAATACAGGTATATTTTCTAAACTTAGCAGGAAATAGCACTTCATGCCCATGCAAGATTATTGGTAACACTGATTTAACATACTAATGGTTAAATCCTGGTATCACTGAATTCAGTGGAAGTTTTGCTATTGACTTTAGTGGGACTAGGATTTGGCCCTAAACCAGGAATTATTAACATCAGCAGTTAAACTACGTACTCAAGTATCAGGGGGTAGCCGTGTTAGTCTGTATCCACAAAAACAACAAGGAGTCCGGTGGCACCTTAAAGACTAACAGATTTATTTGGGCATAAGCTTTCGTGGGTAAAACCCCGCTTCTTCAGATGCAAACTATGTACTGATTTTCTGTCTTTTAGATCTCTTCAAATGATATATTGATGGATATTTTTAGCTAGATTTCTAGATTGTTAGTAAAATACTTGCATGAAGTATGTGAAATAATTTATACAGGAAGGATCTCAAACCAGTTTTGCTTGCAGAATGGGGAATAATATCTAACAGAATAATATACAACACTGGTCTCCCATGTTTAAGAAAGATGAATTCAAACTGAAACAGGTGCAGACGATTACTACGATGATCAGAGGAATGGAAAACCTACCTTAGGAGAGGAGACTCAAGGGGTTTGGCTTGTTTAGCCTAACCAAATGAAGCCTGAAGGGAGATATGATTGCTCTATCAGAGAGGGAATGGAGTTATTTAAGTTGAGCACCAATGTTGAAACAAGAACAAATGGATATAAACTGGCCATAAATAGGTCTAGGTTTGAAATTAGATGAAGGTTTCTAACCATTAGAGGAGTCAAGGTCTGGGACAGCCTTCCAAGGGCAGCAGTGAGGGAAAAAACCCTAACTGGTTTAAGTTTATGGAGGGGACATTATAATGAGACTGCCTAAAATGGCATATGGCCCATCAGTGACTGCTAGTACAAATATTCCCAATGGTGGAGTTGGGACACTAGATGGGGGGCTCTGAGTTACTACAGAGAATTTTTTCCTCAGGTGTCTGGCTGGTGGGTCTTGCTGACATGCTCAGAGTCCAACTGATAGCCAATTTGGGGGTTGGGAAAAAAAATTCAGATTGGGAGAGACCCCAGGGGGTTTTCACTTTCTTCTGCAGCATGTGGTACAGATCACTTGCAGGTTTAAACTAGAATAAATGGTGGATTCTCTGTAACTGGAAGTCTTTAAATCATGATTTGAAGACTTCAGTAACTCAGTCAGAGGTTATGGGTCTATTACAGGAGTGGCTGAGTGTGGCCTGCAGTGTGCAGGAGGTCAGCCTAGGTGATCACAATGGTCCCTTCTGGCTTTAAAGTCTATTCCTGTAAATAACTTTCCCAAGGTCACACAGGGAGTTTATGGCAGAGCTGGGAAGTGAACCCAGGTTGCTAGAATCCCAGACCTGTGACTGATCAATTGGACCATTCTGTACCCTGATTTAGGTACATGAATCCTTCTTGGCTGGGCATATGTTGGGCTGTATGCTGCTGCTTCTGGGTGACTCTGTGCCCATTCCACAGAATAGCTAGAGCCAATTGGCAAGGGAGGTTAAGAAGTCAGAGAACGGTTGCTGCCATCTGGGGGAGCATTACAGCAGTGGATCTCACTCACTAGTTGTTATCTTAGCTCAGGGGTGGGCAAACTTTTTGGCCTGAGGGCCACATCTGGGTATGGAAATTGTGTGGTGGGCCATGAATGCTCATGAAATTGGGGGTTGGGGTGTGGGAGGGGGTAAGGGCTCCGGCTGTGGGTGCAGGCTCTGGGGTTGGGCCAGAAATTAGTAGTTCAGGGTGCAGGAGGGGGCTCTGGGCTGGGGCAGGGGGTTGGGATGCGGGAGGGGGTACAGGTTCCAGGGTAGGGCCAGGGATGAGGGGGCTGTGGGTGGAGCAGAGGGGTTTGGAGTATGGGAGGCGGCTCTGGGCTGAGGCAGGGGGTTGGAGTGTGGGAGGGGGTACAGGCTCTGGGCTGGGGGTGAGGGGCTTAGGGTGCAGGAGGGAGCTCTGGGCTGGGGGTTGAGGTGTGGGGGGAGGCCAGAGGTGCAGGCTCTGGGCAGCACTTACTTCAAGCAGCTCTTGGAAGCAGCGGCATGTCCCCCCTCCGAGTCCGGTTCCTATGTGGAGGCGCAGCCAGGCGGCTCTGCGAGCTGCCCCATCTGCAGGCGCCGCCCCCGCAGCTCCCAGAAGCAGCAGCAGCATGTCCTCCCTCTGGCTCCTACATGGAGGCGTGGTTCCGGCCATGCAGCTCTGTATGCTGCCCTGTCCGCAGGTGCCTGTTCCAGCCAATGGGAGCTACAGAGCCAGTGCTTGGGGCAGGGGTAGCGTGCAGAGCCCCCTGGCTGCTCTGACATGTAGGAGCTGGGGGGAAGAAGGGGGGAGAGACATGCCGCTGCTTCCGGGAGCCGCATGGAGCCACAGCACAAGCAGGGAAAGCCCCCTACCCTGCTCCCCGGTGGGAGATAGAGGGCCAGATTAAAAGGTCTGACAGTCTGGACACAGCCTGCGGGCTGTAGTTTGCCCACCCCTGCCTTAGCTGAAGCTGCCTCCAACTTGTTGAAATTGTTTGATAAATTGTGGGAGCACAGTGCACAATCAATCCTTTGATTTGTCTGGGACTGATTCCAGAAATAGAACTCAGATCTCCTGAGTCCCATGATTTAACCACATGTTCATCCTTTCTCTTGTAGAGCTTCCAAATGGGAAGTGTGGTTGGGCACTTACACATGGAAGGAAATCAGCAGTGCTTGGGAAAGCAACAATTTAGGGAAATTCTCTACTGTGTGTGATAATGAATGAACAGCCTCCATTATCATCTCACTCTGAATACTTTTTATTTTTAATTTAGGTTCCAAATGTTCAGGATTTCACAGCTGCTTTACCTGTGGGTGTGGTCAGCCAACATATGCGCATGAAACGGTTGTGGAAACTAAACAAGAGCGCTTAGCCCAGGGAAAACCTGTGGGGCAAGATGTTCCTTATGCTGCAATGGGAGGATTAACTGGCTTTAGTTCACTGGCTGAAGGCTATATGAGACTTGATGACAGCGGAATAGGTAAGTGCAGGAGACTTGAGATAACATTTTGATCCTTTGTCTATTTAATTTTCATATTTGAAAATCTGTTGAAATATTAAATTTCAGGGCAAGTTAAACCTTACCATAGGATGAGGACTCCAAATCACTGATTTTTTTTTCATAGATTTAAAGGCCAGAAGAGATCATTATGATAATCTCCTCTGACTTCTTGTAGAAAAGAAGCTATAGAAATTAGAAGATATGACATAGTTGGCATCACAGAGACTTGGTGGGATAATATGCAGGACTGGAATATTGGTATAGAAGGATACAGCTTGCTCAGGAAGGATGGCAGGAAAAAAAGGGAGGAGGTGTTGCGTTATATATTAAAAATGTATACACTTGGACTGAGGTTGAGATAGAAATAAGAAACAGACTTGCTGAATGTCTCTGGGTAAGCAAAAAGGGGTAAAAACAAGGGTGATGTCATGATAGGGGTCTACTACAGACCACCAAACCAGGAAGAAGAGGTGGATGAGACTTTTTTTAAAAAACTAACAAAATCATCCAAAGCACAGGACTTGGTGGTGATGGGGGACTTCAACTACTCAGACATCTGTTGGGAAAACAGCAGGGCATAGATTATCCAACAAGTTCTTGGAATGTACTGGAGACATTTTTTTATTTCAGAAGGTGGAGAAAGCTACTACAGGGGAGGCTGTTCTATATTTGATTTTGACAAATAGGGAGGAACTGGTTGAGAATTTGAAAGTGGAAGGCAACTTGGGTGAAAGTGATCATGAAATGGTAGAGTTCATGATTCTAAGGAATGGTAGGAGGGAGAACGGCACAATAAAGACAATGGATTTCAAGAAGGCAGACTTTAGCAAACTCAGGGAGTTGGTAAGTAAGATCCCATGGGAAGCAAGTCTAAGACTGTTGGCAGTTTTTCAAAGAGACATTATTAAGGGCACAAGAGCAAACTATCCAACTGCGTAGGAAAGATAGGAAGTATGGCAATAGACCACCCTGGCTTAACCAGGAGATTGTCAATGATCTAAAACTCAAAAAAGACTTACAAAAAGTGGAAACTTGGTCAAATTACAAAGGATGAATATAAACACCACAAGTACACCTCTACCCCGATATAACGCAGTCCTCGGGAGCCAAAAATCCCTACTGCGTTATAGGTGAAACCCCGTTATATCGGGGTAGCGGCGGCAGGGCTCCAGCAGTGATTTAAAGAGCTCCGGGCTCCGGCCGCTGCGGGGAGCGCCGGGCCCTTTTAAATCACCGACTGAGCCCCGCTGCTGCAGCTCCGGGGTAGCAGCGGCAGGGCTCCAGTGGTGATTTAAAGGGCCCGGGGCTCCCTGCAGCAGCCGGCGCCTTGGGCCCTTTAAATCATCGGCTGAGCCCCGCTGCCGCAATCCCGGGGTAGCAGCAGCAGGGCTCCAGTGGTGATTTAAAGGGCCCGGGGCTCCCCGCAGCAGCCAGAGTCCTGGGCCCTTTAAAGCGCCGCCCGAGCCCCGCTGCCAGAGCCCCGGGGTTACCGCATTATATGCGAACCCGTGTTATATCGGGTCGCGTTATATCGTGGTAGAGGTGTATGTAGGGATAAAATGAGAAAAGCCAAGGCACAAAACGAGATCAAAGTAGCTAGGGACATAAAAGGAAACAAGAAAACATTCTACAAATACATTAGAAGCAAGAGGAAGACCAAGGAGAGAGTAGCCCGTTACTCAATGAGGGGGGGAAAGACAATAACAGAAAATGTGGAAATTGCAGAGGTGCTTAATGACTTCTTTGTTTCGGTTTTCACCAAGAAGATTGGTGGCGATTGGATAGCTAACAGTGAATGCCAGTGAAAATGAGGTAGGATCAAAGTCTAAAATAGGGAAAGAACAAGTCAAAAAATTACTTAGACAAGTTAGATGTCTTCAAATCACCAGGACCTGATGAAATGCGTCCTAGAATACTCAAGGAGTAGATTGAGGAGATATCTGAGCCATTAGCAATTATCTTTGAGAAGTCATGGAAGACAGGAGACTGGAAAAGGCAAATATAGTACCCATCTATTAAAAGGGAAATAAGGACAACATGGGGAATTACAGATCAGTCAGCTTAACTTCTATACCTGGAAATATAATGGAGCAAATAATTAAGCAATCAGTTTGCAAACACCTAGAAGATAATAAGGTGATAAATAACAGTCAGCATGGATTTGTCAAGAACAAATCATGTCAAACCAACCTGATAGCCTTCTTTGACAGGGTAACAAGCCTTGTGGCTGGGGGGGTGAAGCGGTAGATGTGGTCTATCTTGACTTTAGTAAGGCTTTTGATTATGTCTCGCATGACCTTCTCATAAACAAACTCGGGAAATACAACCTAGATGGAGCTACTATAAGGTGGGTGTGGAACTGGTTGGAAAATCGTTCCCAGAGAGGAGTTATCAGTGGTTCACAGTCATGCTGTAAGGGCATAACAAGTGGGGTCCTGCAGGGATTGGTTCTGGGTCCGGTTCTGTTCAATATCTTCATCAATGATTTAGATAATGGCACAGAGAGTATACTTACAAAGTTTGCGGACGATACCAAGCTGGGAGGAGTTGCAAGTGTTTTGGAGGATAGGATTAAAATTCAAAATGATCTGGACAAACTGGAGAAGTGGTCTGAAGTAAATAGGCTGAAATTCAATAAGGACAAATGCAAAGTACTCCACTTAGGAAGGAACAGTCAGTTGCACACATACAAAATGGGACATGACTGCCTAGGAAGGAGTATTGCGGAAAGGGATCTGGGGGGTCATAGTGGATCACAAGCTAAATATAAGTCAACAATGTAATGCTGTTGCAAAAAAGGCAAACATTCTTGGATGTATTAGCAGGAGTATTGTAAGCAAGACATGAGAAGTAATTCTTTTGCTCTACTCTGCGCTGATTAGACCTCAACTGGAGTATTGTGTCCAGTGCTGGGTGCCACATTTCAGGAAAGATGTGGACAAATTGGAGAAAGTCCAGAGAAGAGCAACAAAAATGATTAAAGGTCTAGAAAACATGACATATGAGGGAAGATTGTAAAAATTGGGTTTGTTTAGTCTGGAGAAGAGAAGACTGAGAGGGGACATGATAATAGTTTTCAAGTACATAAAAGGTTCTTACAAGGAGGAGGGAGAAAAATTGTTCTTAACCTCTGAGGATAGAAGAAGCAATGGGCTTAAATTGCAGCAAGGGTGGTTTAGGTTGGACATTAGGAAAAACTTCCTAACTGTCAGAGTGGTTAAGCACTGAAACAAATTGCCTAGGGAGGTTGTGGAATCTCCATCATTGGGGATTTTGGAGGCAAGTTGGACAAACACCTGTCAGAGATGGTCTAGATAATACTTAGTCCTGTCTTGAGTGCCGGGGACTGGACTAGATGACTTTGAGGTCCCTTCCAGTTCTACGATTCTATGAAATTCATTCATTAATTTCTGTATCCAGAAGAGTACATTCTGATTGAATGACATTGACATTCAGTGAAGACATTGAAAACTTCTACTTGATATTCCATTGTTTATATATTCAAGAACTGAGTTGACCCTCTTAGCCACAGAGTTATATTGGGATCTCATGTGCCGCTTGGTTATCTAACACATAAGTATAAGTCCTCGTCAGAAGCACTTCTTTCCAAGATCCTGCATGTGTGATCTAATTCTTTGTTCTTTAGATGTCCGATTTTGCATTTGGCAATACTGAAATGCATGTTATTTGAATGAAACCAGTTTACCAAATGATTCAGATCACTCTGCATAACTGACTCATCCTTATCACTGTTTACCATTCCACCATTTTTTGTGTCATCTACAAAGTTTACTAGCCATGATTTGATATATTTTTTCCAGGTCACTCGTAAAGATGTTGAATGACATTGGGCCAAGAACAGATCCCCATTAGAAACACTCCTATTCATTGATGATTCCCCATTAACAGTTACATGTTAGGGTATCTTCCTATTTTCTCTTAACATTATTCATTTTAAGTTTTCAGCCTGACAAGTACAGATCAATGATTTTTTTTTTCCCAGTGTAAGGCACAATTCATAGTGGGATTTCAAGCTGATTTGTTACAAGTCTACAATTAATACTCAGTATACAAAATTGGACATATGTAGAACTGGGTTGTTATCTTACACCACTGGTTCTTAGAGAACTTCTGATCCTCTCTATTCCCCTGTAATATAGTTTTGAATGTAGGAGTCTTTATTTTGAAATACTGTTGGTATTTAATTATATTTTAAATTCTGGGTCTGTTCTCCACGATATTTCTGCAATGTAGTTACCGTATAGTACAGTCACAGCAACCGGAAGAGAAGAGCTCAGCCATTTCATTTCTTTTCAAGCCATACTTTGGTTCTTTTACCACACCTATTTTCTTCTGGTATTCTGGATGATACACAATGTGTAATTTTTTCATGTGGTTTACTACATATCAGCATAATTTATTTTAAATGGTAGATATGTTTGGTTTCCATCATGTATGACTCCTAACGCTTCTTGTGAAGCTAATTTTTTTCTAATATGTTTTCTATTAGGGGCACCCTCTGCTGAATTTCTAGAGTCACCTAGTAGTGGCATGGACCATCCATTTCTAAAAGCATTCCAAGGCCCCTCCAGTTCTGCACAAGCCAGCTCACAATTAACAGGTGGTAATGAAACGAACTGACCATTTTTTATTTTAAATTGTGGTGTATTATTATTCTCACTCAGTATAAAGGCACTATATAATGTTGACTTTTTGATGAGTTAAGGAAAGCTTAAAGGTGTACATTAGAGTTCAAAACTAAAGCGAATATTTAAGATTATTTCCTCTAAGAGGGATGTATGTAATTAATATACAAACTTTTCTGTAATGAAGGTTTTCAAAACAGAAGGGTTTTTACATTGTTGTTTCAGAGAATCTCTCTCCCATTAGTTTAATATGAAACTAGATTTTCTTGATTTTGATGCCCTCCCCCTGCACCTGTTTCCTTTCTTAATAATGGAATCACCTATTCACTGGAGTACCATCTCTCCGTTTTTGTTTCCCAGTAAGGGTATGTCTACACTACGAGGGTAATTCGATTTTACTTAAATCGAATATGTGGAATCGATATTGCAAAGTCGAACGTGTGTGTCCACACTAAGGACACTAAGGACAGTAATTCGACTTTGTGAGTCCACACTAACGGGGCGAGCGTCGATATTGGAAGCGGTGCACTGTGGGCAGCTATCCCACAGTTCCCACAGTCCCCGCTGCCCATCGGAATTCTGGGTTGAGCCGCCAATGCCTTCTGGGTAAAAAAAATTTGTCGTCATCTGTCCGTCACTAACGCCCTCCCTCCCTCCATGAAAGCGCCGGCGGGCAATCAGTTCGCGCACTTTTCTGGTCAGTGACAGCGCGGACGCCACAGCACTGCGATCATGGATCACGCTGCGACCATCGCTGCACTTGTGGCCGTTCTCAACACCTCGCAGCTTATCATACACCTTTCCCTGAGGCAGATGAAGAGTAATCAGGCGAGGAGGCTACGACACCGCCGTGATGGCCTGAAGTCGGAGAGTAGCACAGAGCTGTCAGAAACCACGAGCCCCAGCGCCCAGGACATCACGTTGGCAATGGGGCATGTGGATTTTGTTGAACGGCGATTCTGGGCCCGGGAAACAAGCACGGACTGGTGGGACCGTATAGTGCTTCAGGTCTGGGATGAATCCCAGTGGCTGCGAAACTTTCGCATGCGGAAGGGGACTTTCCTCGAAATTTGTGAGTTGCTGTCCCCTGCCCTGAAGCGCAAGGACACCCGCATGCGAGCAGCCCTGACTGTCCAGAAGCGAGTGGCCATAGCCCTCTGGAAGCTTGCAACGCCGGACAGCTACCGGTCAGTCGCGAACCACTTTGGTGTGGGCAAATCTACCGTGGGGGTTGTTGTCATGCAAGTAGCCAAGGCAATCGTGAAGGTACTGCTCCCAAAGGTAGTGACCCTGGGAAACGCGCAGGTCATCATAGATGGCTTTGCCGCGATGGGATTCCCAAACTGCGGTGGGGCTATCGATGGGACTCACATCCCTATCCTGGGACCGGACCACCAGGCCAGCCAGTACATCAACCGAAAGGGCTACTTTTCAATGGTGCTGCAAGCACTGGTGGACCATCGGGGACGGTTTACAAACATCTACGTCGGATGGCCGGGCAAGGTTCATGACGCTCGCGTGTTCAGGAACTCTGGTCTGTTTAGACGGCTGAAGGAAGGTATTTACTTCCCAGACCACAAAATAACTCTTGGGGATGTGGAGATGCCTACAGTCATCCTCGGGGACCCAGCCTACCCGCTAATGCCCTGGCTCATGAAGCCCTATACTGGCGCCCTGGACACAGAAAAAGAACTGTTCAACTACCGGCTGAGCAAGTGCAGAATGGTGGTGGAGTGTGCTTTTGGCCGTCTCAAAGGGAGATGGAGAAGCTTACTCACTCGCTGTGATCTCAGTGAAACCAATATCCCCATCGTTATTGCAGCTTGCTGTGTGCTCCACAATCTGTGTGAGAGCAAGGGGGAGACCTTTATGGCGGGGTGGGAGCTAGAGGCAAATAGCCTGGCTGCTGATTACGTCCAGCCAGACAGCCGGGCCATTAGAAGATCCCAGCGGGACGCCCTGTGCATCCGGGAGGCTTTGAAAGCTAGGTTCCTGAGTGAGCAGGGCAACCAGTGACTTTTCAGTTTGTGGACAGAAAAGCTGAACCTGCCCCCGTTTCTTTACCCAGTTCATTTTGACTATCCTCTCCAGTTACATACCCCCTTCACCCCCTTCCCCTTCCCAAAAAATAAAATCATTTCGATTTTGTTAATGAACACCGTTGTCTGTATTGCTGTTTTCGCGGGAATATTTTAAACCGGGGACGCAGACTGTGGCGGGGGGCGGGTTCAGTGTTCTGATGCAAATGATGCTTCTAAACTACCGAAATGACAGGCTCCGCACTGGTGGACTGGTTATTTCAATGGAGCCTGCCAGCACTCCTGGTGGGGACTGTGTGTATGTGTCGGCTATGTGACTTTCTGGCAGGGGGGGTAGGGTTACATATCCCCTGCTGCGTGGATCTGTGAGCCAGGATAAGGACCGCTGCATAAGATCTGTAACTGCCCTCCCCCGCCACAAAGTCACAGAGCAACCCCCCCCCCCCAGAACATGGAAAACACCTCCCAGACTGACCAGGGTAACCAGTGACTGCACTGTGTATGTTTCCTGATGCTGGACCTGACACCGCCTCTCTACCCTGCAAAAGGTCACTGTCCTGTCCAATTACCAAGCCCCTTCCCCCCCTCCAGACAGACTCTCCCTCAAAAGAACCTGACTGAAACAGTAATGAACAGAAACATATTTTTTATTAACAACCAGACAGGAAACTGGGGGGTGAAAGTCGGACGGGGGCTTGGGTGAGGCGGGCAGGAAAGGACTTTTCAAATTTTGGGGAATGACAGCCTTCTGGTGCTTGAGCAGTCTGCAGGGGTGGAGTGAGAGTTTTCACGGACTCTGCCACCCCTCCTTCTTTGGACTTTGGGAGAGGGAGGTATGGGACTTGGTGGCGGGGGACTGCGGTTCCTGATAGACTGCTGCGGGGCTCTGTCCTCCTGCCTCCGTTCCTGCAGAACATCAACAAGGCGCCGGAGCGTGTCCGTTTGCTCCCTCAGAAGTCCAAGCAGCGTTTGAGTCGCCTGCTGGTCTTCCTGCCGCCACCTCTCCTCACGTTCCATGTGTGTCCGGTGCATTTGTGACAAATTCTCCCTCCACTGGTTCTGCTGTGCTGCCTGGGCTCGGGAGCAGCCCATTAGTTCTGAGAACATGTCCTCTCGCGTCTTCTTCTTTCTCCGCCTAATGTGCGCTAGCCTCTGGGAGTGTGATGCCAAGCTGGGTTAGGAGACAGTTGCAGATGTGGCTGTGGGAATGAGGAAAAGGCAGTGAATTCCTCCGAAAGATAAATGTGGTTGTGAATCAAGAACATAGTTTTTCTCTGTGAACAAGACCATGAACCACACCTATCACATGCGCACTCCGGACAAGGTCGAATTTTCGAACCTCGCCTTCAGTGCCTGGGCTTTTGCACTGCCGATCTGGGAAGCGGGGCAGGACACGGTACTCTCTGTAGCAGGCAAACATGGTAAGCCGTAGACTTGTGGCTGCTTAAAACTGTAGGAGTACCACTGGCCTCCTTTCACATTGAAAGCACTGCCAGTCTGTGCTGCCAGCAATCGGCCAAGCAGGAACTCTGGCCCTGTCCCACCCCCTCGCGGATGAGCCAGGGAAAGATCCCTGTATGCTGCCCCTCTCCCGCCCCCACCGCGTGGCTGTAAACCAGCGGTCACAGTTCTGTAAAGGAACTTGTTGCAAGCAGTCCCAATACTAACAGTCCCCTACCTAATTCAAAGCAGGTCATCATGAGCGACATAACTCTCATGAGGATCCCGGACACCGAGATCCAACGGATGCTTCGAGAAAGCCTGCAGAGACCGGGGCCCTATGCCGCCATGCTATGCAAGGCAATGATACCGGAGTACCTGCTTGTCTCCTGGCGCGGGAACGTCTCCTACTTCGGAGGACCAAGTAAAGCCGCTCTCCCCAGGAACCTGATGAACAGGCTATCCCATTACCTGCAGCAGAGCTTTGTGGAGATGTCCGTGGAGGACTACTGCTCTATCCCCGGACATATAGACAGGATTCTAATATAGCTGCAGTAGCAGGCACTAAAGAGTGGAGCAGCTTGGGCAGCACAATCATGCAGAACCGGACACTGTTTGATTTTTTTTTAAATAGTTGTTACTGATTACTTAAGCGCCCAGGGGGAAGAAATCATGATTCACAGATTGTTCTTAGTATTAATATTCAAGATTTGTAAAAAATAAAGGTTAATATGTTTAAAGCACTTACCGCTTGATCCTTCGCCTGAATCTGTGTCCAGGTTACATGCTGGGGAGGGTTGGTAGGGGATCTCTGTAACGGTGATGAAGAGCTCCTGGCTGTCGGGGAAGTCAGCTTGGTAAGCGCTGTCGACTGCCTCGTCCTCCTCATCTCCTTCCTCCTCTTCCCCGTCCGCTGAGGAACCGGCCGTGGACAATATCCCATCCTCAGAGTCCACGGTCAGTGGTGGGGTAGTGGTGGCGGCCGCAGCAAGGATGGAATGCAGTGCCTCGTAGAAACGGGATCTGTGGGGCTGGGATCCGGAGCGTCCGTTTGCCTCTTTGGTCTTCTGGTAGCCTTGTCTCAGCTCCTTGATTTTCACGCGGCACTGCGTTGCATCCCGGCTGTAGCCTCTCTCTGCCATGGCTTTGGAGATCTTCTCGTAGATCTTAGCATTCCTTCTTTTGGAGCGCAGCTCTGAAAGCACGGACTCATCGCCCCACACAGCGATGAGATCCAAGACTTCCCGATCAGTCCATGCTGGGGCCCTCTTTCTATTAGATTGCACGGCCATCTCTGCTGGAGAGCTCTGCATCGTTGCCACTGCTGCTGAGCTCACCTCGATGTCCAAAGAGGAACTGAGATTCAAACTGCCCAGACAGGAAAATGAAAATGAATTCAAATTTTCCCGGGGGTGTGGCTGGTCAGAGCATCCGAGCTCGGACTGCTGTCCAGAGCGTCAACAGAGTGGTGCACTGTGGGATAGCTCCCGGAGCTATTACCGTCGATTTCCATCCACACCTAGCCTAATTCGATATGGCCATGTCGAATTTAGCGCTACTCCTCTCGTTGGGGTGGATTACAGAAATCGATTTAAAGAGAGCTTTATGTCGAACTAAATGGCTTCCGGGTGTGGACGGGTGCAGGGTTAATTCGATATAACAGCGCTAAAGTCGACATAAAAGCCTAGTGTAGACCAGGCCTAAGAGATCATTGTCTGAACACACACTTCGTATGTATTTACTCAGTGTAATAGTGTGCAACTGCTTTCTCCCTATATGGACATAGCTGTGAGGTCACTTCTGCCCAATTATGTCCCGTGGCTAGTAAGATGGTAGTCACAATGTAGCTCCTCGGAGGCCTCTTATAGAAACGACCAGTCTTTTCATTCCAGACCTAGTGAATAGTGCTGCTTATTTGGCTGGAGGTATTGCTTTTAAGTAAAACAGGGCACTTCTCCCTTGTGCAGACTGAAATTTATTTGAAAATCTTTTTCCAAATATAAAGCATAATGAAATCAATAAAACAAGTATTTTTAATAGACATTTGTTTTGTTTTGTTTTTTCAGGTGGTTCTAGTGCAGCAAAGCAAGTTTCTAATTTAAGGAGTTCTGAAGAAGAGGACATGGCTTACTTTGAAAAACAGTACCAGGAACGGGTAAGTCATTGTATTTAGAGCTTAATACAGACATGTTCCTTAAAAATAAAGTGGCTCAATTTAAGGTGGATAAACTTAAAATTGAACTTGCCTACAATGGTTCACATTGCTTTAACTGCTATTCTGATCCTGAAAAAATGTATTAGCATTTCAAAACGAGGGTTACAACATAGTGACCTAATAGTGTAGGTCCATAGGCCAATCATATCTGGAATAGTTCAGTGACCTTCCCACCTAGATCAGGCAGATGTAATTAAAAAACTTAACTTGCTTTGGCCAGAGGAAAGCAAAAGCATAACTGCACCAAAATACCAAACAATCACAGAAAGAAAAAACTCAGCAATTGTTTTGGACAACTAGGAGAAACTGTGTAAAAACAAAACAAACCCCCTTCGGATACCCAGGAAAGCATGGACTGCTACTCTCAGGCACAAAACTTCTTAATATCCCTTTAATTTATATGTAGTCATTCAGATTCTGGTTTAACTCAGTATTACTTAACTCCACCATCTTAGCCGAAAGTGAATTCTACCCATTCACCAATTCCTCTATAAAGTAATATTTCACTTACCTAGTTTTAATAAAGCCTAATGTTATGCTCGTTTCTTGCATCAGGTGGTGTCTGTTTCTGTCAGAACTGGTCTTTGAAACTCTCAATCTTTTCTTGAGAAACATTACAAAAATAAAGAAGAAATGTGCTACAAATTTTGCAAATGTAATAGTTTATAGATATAGCATTACTACTAAGTCTGAAGACTTTTTCCAGTATTTTCTTTTCCTTGGTGAAGAGGCTGTAAGAATTTCAGATATTTGATCCAATCCTGCAAAGACTGAGGCATATGCTTTTTCTTGAGCACATGAGTAGTCCCACAACAGGACTACTTACCTGTGTGCATAACTTTAAGCTTGTATGTCTTTGTAGGGTGCCTTACTCACTTTTTTGACAATCTTCATCTTCCCAATGGGGATCCAGCACCAGTGGCAGCAGTGGGGTCCATCTCTAGCTGGCCCCACACACAACCAGCACCAGCAGAAACAGCAGGGGAGTACCTTCGGTCACTTATTACTTTTCAGAAAATTTCCTTTAATTTTCAAAAGATTAAAGTGAGGCTGTGAGTCCTCTCCCAATCCCGCCCTCAGCTCAGGAACCATCACCAGGAATGAGGCAGCCTAAAGGATTTGTTCTTTTAAAAGGAAGGAGCCCCAGCCCAGCTCCTCTAGACACTTCTCCACATGCTGGCCAGGAGGCCACTTTTCAGCTGTTACTCAGACAAGACTAAAAGGTAAGTGCTATTTCTCATCCTCTACATCTCCCTCCCAAGGCAGGTAAGAGCAACAGGGGTGTCATTACAACACAGACAGTTTATTTAAAGGAAATGGATGTCTGATGCCATTGACACTTCCTCTTGCTGGGCTCAGTCCTATTATCATCATGTATTACAATTTCCATTCCTGTTATGCTACCATGCTTCCAGCATACCCACCACTGCTCCAGGAACACACTGCTCCAGCTCTACCCCTTCCCAGGACTCAGACAAGTTACAGCTCCAAAATATATCCAACAGAGCTATCTTTCCTATGGCAACTGGTGAACCAGACAACCGTTCCTTCACTTGGAACATCCCATGGCAACATTTACTTCATTACCTATCACAGTTCAAATTGGGAGGACCTGTCCAAGAAAACAGGAAAGCAAAAATAAGAAGCTAGATTCCAGACATAACACGCCTGTATGCTGCACAGGTCCACTACACTACATAGTCCACCGGCCAGAAACAGACAGCACAAGGCATCACAAACTAAAGCTGATGTTGATCAATGCAAGACCTGCCACTAACAAACAATACATGACCTCATCAGTAATGAGGCACCTGCTATAGCCTGCATCACCAAGACCTGGCTGGATGACAGAGCAAGTCCTATACTAGCCAACTGCATTCTCCCAGGATACTTGGTACACCCCTGACCTAGAAAGGACAAAAGGCCAGTTGGTACTCCATTCATTTTCTTTGCAAATGTCAAATGCAAGAGAGGAGCCACAGATATGACAACTTCATTTGAATTCATTCATCTGACAGTCAAAACCAGAGCAAAGCTTGTGTGTGAGTGTGTGTATGTATAGATTTTATGCTTATTTACAACCACTGCAGAAAAGGGTTCATGAAGGAGCTCACTGGCATGTGGTTGGCAGTGGTGGTGAAATACCCCAGACTACTTGTCCTGGGAGATTTCTATATTGATACTAACAAGGCCGCGGATACAACCCCCCCAAAACTCATCACCTCACTTGTCTCCCTAGCACTTTCATAGGTCATCTTTGGCCCTTTTGTTTTCAGTTTTTACCAAAAAATTCCAGGTTTTACAAAAGCAATTCCCCCCCCCCCCCCCCCCCAAATATTGGAAGGGCCAGAACTTCCCACCTCTCCTCTCTGGAAGGTGAGATGGTGGCACGGTAACCATGGGTGTCCCTGGTTTCTGATCCACCATCTCTTTTTCCAGAGTGGGGGGGATGGATCAGAAGTACTGGAATGACTTGAGTGCTGATGTATGTACTGCTGTCAATCCCACGCCCATCACATATATATTACCTGTTCTACAGATAGCATGGATGTTTATAGCATTCAAAGCAAATAAGTTAGTGAACTACTTTTCATGCCAAAATTAGTCAAAAATGAAAAATTGAATTTGACTATGTTTCAAAACATAAGGGCTGTTTTGGAGGTTAAAAACACAAAAACAGTAGAAAAGAGGAGAGAGATATTTACACAGAAAACTGCAAATTCATTTTTTGCACTGATTTTCACCCATTTTTTGTAATGAACATTGATGAATTTCCAGGAAATTTGAAACAAAAACAGAAAACACAGGGCCTTACTCACATAGCTAACTCGTACTCCAACGAATTCCAAAGCCTGCTAAAGGATAACAGTACCCCGCCCACGGGGTGAGGAATCAAGGACCTGGTCATTCATTATCATTCTACACTGGCCTCTGCCATTGACATGTTTGCCCCCAAATAGCACCTTCTCCACATTGCCCACACAGATTATCTTGATTTTCTGACACCCTGTGCCGGATGAAGAGAGAGGGTGGAAACTCAAGTGCTGATGGCAGAATACAAAGACTGATTCCGACAGGATGAAACAAATTCCTCAAAGTCTATACTGAGGCTGCATTACAAGCCGAGAGAGCCTTCCTATCAGCTTTCTTTGAGGCTGCCAAATCCCACCCCAAGGGGTAAATTCCTTCAATCCTGAATGCTTACAACCTGTATCAGAGCCAAGAACACCAAGCACCGCAAAAAACTTATCATCCTACTTCACTGAAAAGATCACGCACATTCAGGAAGTCTTCTCAAACAGCATGCATCTGCTCTGCCTGCACTCACTAACCAAGAACCAGCTGCATTCTCAGAATTCAGTACATTGACTCATCAAGAAGTTCTGGACACCCTAAAGGAGTCCTGATCCAAGACTTGTTCATGACTCTTTCACAAGCCAGAAAGGGCATACGTCAGATTCACAACTAGTGCCACTCCTGAGTGAAATAGCCAATGCTTCGGTCATGCTGTCTAGAGTGGTACACAACTGAGTGCCAGCCTCAGGGCAGACAAACTGACAAAAGCAGGGCAGATATCCCAAACTAGTGGTATGTATTATAATTAGATTTTACCAATCCAGTAACAAATGTGAACTCCTGGATCACTGTAACAGTCTTACCATGGAGTCACAGACCATCCCCTTGGGCTCTCCAATCTATCTCGCCACCCAGGCAACCTGAATTTAGTGATAAATGGTCACTTACACCAGAAATCATAAAACATTTAGGTTGTGAGCAGTCACTTACCCCAAATCAATTTGTACCTTAGATCTCACACCAAAGACAATGCTGGTAGCTAATCCCATAGTAAATTTACAGAGGATTTATTAACTAGGAAAAAGAAATTAGAGAATTATTTACAGGTTAAAGCAGGTAACATGTATACACAAATGAGTTCAGCCTATGGTTCCATGTCAACTATCTTTATTTCCCTCTTGCAGCATTCCAACTCATGGGATGATGCCTTCTGCATGTGCTTCTCCATGGGTGGATGGGGCAATCAACAAAGCTTTTGTCCTACAATGGCCCACAACTTTGATAGCCCTCCTGGATGAACTGGGGGAGCCACTCTCCCCATGTGAGTTCACAAGTTTGGAGCAGTGATTTTTAAAATTATAAAACAAACTTATATTTTACCTTGTAGTATGGTATACAGACATTGCAATTGTAATGTTTATGCATGCAGCAACTTAGTCATTTTATAGCATCTAAACACATCCTTACAAGTCTAACACCTATCTAGAACAATATTAGCATATAGGTGAGCTGGTCTGGTTTCCAGCTATGAATTTCTCAGTACTCAGCTGACATCTACAGACTTTGCAAGAGCTGGCACTTGGTTTACCAGCATCACAGCCTCATTCAGAGAAGGAATCTTCCCTTCCGCCTTCAAACACAGAATAGTCTGACCAACATTGAAGAAACCCATGCTGGCCAACCCAGTACTAGCCAGCTATCACACATAACCCTCCCGTTCCTGAGCAAACTCAGAGAAACTAGCAAAAGGCCCAACTACAAATTCATCTAACAGAAACTAACACTCTAGACCTGGCACAATCTGAATTCAAGCCAGAACACAGAACTGAAACTGCATTGGTAGCACTGATGGATGATCTCCTGCTGTCAGTGATAGAAGACAGACATCCATTCTCATCCATTGCAGCATTCAACACTGTTGACCATGAGGTACTGCTGTCTCACCTGAGAGAAATAGGACTCCTGGGCAATGCACTAAAATGGTTTGAGTTCCACAAGGATCAGTGCTCTCTCTGACCTTTTTCAACATCTCATGCAACCACTAGGTGAACTGGTCAGATGACATGGACTCAAGTGCCAGCAATATGCAGGTGACACACAGCTCTACCTATCCTTCATCACATATGACCAAACCACTCCCACCAAGATGGCCCAGTGGTTAGACAAGATCAGTTAATAGCTGAAGAAGGGGGAGGGATAGCTCAGCAGTTTGAGCATTGGCTTGCTAAACCCACGGTTGTGAGCTCAATCCTTGAGGGGGCCCATTTAGGGAACTGGGGTAAAAATTTGTCTGGGGATTGGGCCTGCTTTGAGCAGGGGGTTGGACCAGATGACCTCCTCAGGTCCCTTGTAACCCTGGTATTCTATGAACAGCTGGCTGAAGCTGAGTCCAAGCAAAACAGATGATGCTGGTAGGCAGAGGGAAGTATTTTGAGGTGTTTGCAGCTACTATGCCATGTCTTTTGGCTGAAGGTTCATAGCCACAATTGGTCAATTCAGTCTGTAGTCTAGGAGTACTCTTGGATTCTTTGTTGACACTGAGCCCTCACATCACAGCAGTCACCACAAGTAACACTTTCAGCTGTGTCTGGTTGTGTCATGGGATCCACTCACCGCACGTGGCACCTCCTGCTGGCAGCTCTAGGGATTGGTTCTTGCCAGGCACTGCTCTCCTCTGGCAGTGTCTCTGCCTGTCGTCTCTTTCACTCTGCAGCCCATCTTGCTCTCAGAGCTGCAGCTTCCTGTTCGTGGCTGGGCCCTCCAGCCAGGTCACTAAGGTCCTCCCCTTCCAAGGAAATCAAAGTCCTTCCAGACCAGCTGTCTGACTGGTGTCTCCAATGCCCTGTGCCACTTCCTAGTGGCTGGAAGGGGAACCCAGGCCCACTCTCTACTCCGGATTCCAGCCCAGGGACCCTATAAGAGTGGCTCTCAACCTTTCCAGGCTACTGTACCCCCTTTCAGGTGTCTGGATCTGTCTTGCATACCCCTGAGTTTCACCTCACTTAAAAACTACTTGCTTACAAAATCAGATATCAAAATACAAATGTGTCACAGCACACTATTACTGAAAAATTGCTTACTTTCTTATTTTTACCTTATAATTATAAAATAAATTAATTGGAATATAAATATTGTACTTACATTTCAATGTATAGTATATAAAGCAGTATAAGCAATATATTGTTTAAGAAATTTTAGTCTGTACTGATTTTACTAGTGCTTTTTTTTGTAGCCTGTTGTAAAAGTAGGCAAATAACTAGATGAGTCCCCCCGGAAGACCTTTGCATACCTCCAGGGATGTACATACCCCTGGCTGAGAACTATTGCCCTATAACAAGCAGCCAAGGTCTGTATGGTCCAACCCCTTACTGCTATTTCCCTTAGCTTCTTCCTACTTATCTGGCTTCCCCCTTTTCTGGGTTTGCCAGCCCAAGCGCCCTCCGCCCAGGGAGTGACTATAGACTACGTCCTTGAAGCCTCTTATTGTTCACAGCTTCTGGGCTTTATATAAGCTTCTCCTGTTCCTGCCCAGCTGAGCCCATTTCCAATTAGTGACCTGCTCCCTGTCTCCTTCTCCGGGTGCAGCCTGGGCAGTTAATTGGTCTGCTTAGCCACTTTAACCCCATCACGGGTTGGCTAAGAGACTCTTTCCCATCCCGGTGGACTTGGCTTTACTACAGTAATGTAATATACCTGAACATGAAACTTTCACACTTAGAAAACTCCAGCTAGTACAAAATGCTGCAGCTAGTCTCCTCAGCAACACAGGCCACTGTGAGCATCTCACACTTGTCCTCTGCTCTCTACACTGGCTTCCCATAGAATTTTGAGTTGAGTTCAAGGTCTCAGTTCTTATTTTCAAAGTGCTCCATGACCTCAGCCCAGGATACCTAAAAGACTGTCTAATGCTCTGGGATGAAGACAATGGTGGACAATTTCACTTCTCTGGCACAATGGAACTCTCAACAATAAGAGTAAAACTCATCTGTGCGGGAGATATAACTTTCTTCAGGAGTGGTCTGAGTCTGGAATGAACTCCCCCAGGAGCTAAAGACCATCACAAATCTCACCACTTTCCATTCCAAGTGCAAAGTATATTTCTTTGACCTTGTCTTGTCTAATGTAAACACATAGTAACAGGTGTATTTATTTAACAAATATTAAAAGAACCCTACCAAAACAAGACACTCCACTTCAAGTATACAATAAAATTACAAAAGGGACACAGGTTAAATATGTTGCTTTAAATCTCCCCAGCCCCTCTTAGATTTCTTTCCCCCCCCAGTCTCTCAAGGCAGTGCAGTGAACATTGACACACTAAAGATCCACACACCTTCTCAATACAATTATTCGAAATAATGTTTAATGTACTCATGAATCACACTCCCGTGAGTGCTGTAGACCAATTACTGACTTCCAAAGCTATGGTATATACATGTAAAATAATTGAAGGAGTTGCCACACTGAAATTGCAGTGGGATGAATATAAATCCACAATAAAAAATGGTAGTCAGGTACATATTTTGGCAAATCAAAGCATGCAGTAAGAAACTAGTGAAGGGAAAATCAATTGGGAGGAAGAATGATCTTGTGGTTAAAGCACCAACCAAGAACTCAGGAGAGTTGCCTAGACTTTGTGACCTTGAGCATGCTAGTTAGTCTTTTGGTCTGTGTTCCACATCTGTAAAATGGTGTTAATAGAATTCCTCTTCATCTAATGGGTATGAGGATAAACTCATATTTGTGAGGTACTGTGGTGTTGAGGGCCAGGTAAGTACCTAGATTTCTATTATAAAGTAGTAGTTTAATTTGTACTGCATTGTATTCATTTGTTGACACACTAGTGCTTGGACCATTGCTGTTTTTCTTTAATACAGCTGAAAAAGGAGAAGGCTGCTAAACAGAAAGTTAAAGGTCCACTGCTATCAAAGAATCCATGAAGATTAATGAAACAAAGGAGTTTTTGTAATACAGAATTGTTTATCATTATATTTAAGGGTATTTTCATGGTGTTTATTGCACACACATATTTTCTAGTTTCTCAATATTAACACTGCTGTATTAAAGTATTGATGAAATTAATTTAAAAATATTTGGTGATTCTGGTTCTTTCAAATAAAATTGTTACTTTTTATCAAAGTAGCTTGACATACTATCTAAGCTCTCAAATATTGCTGCATGGATCTTGCCTTTGTAGTAGAAGATGTGTCATGTGTAGTAGAAAATGATGGTTTTTAGAGACTTCTAAAATTTTTCATTTAGGCTTTGATCCAGCAAACACATGCTTAAGTGCTTTGCTGAATCAGAGCCTTAGGACAGCAGGTAAAATATACATTATACACTACATCATATCCTCAGACTTCCATTACATACTTGCTTCTTTATATGTGGACTTAGAAATCTTCTTGTTCCTAACTTTCTACTCATTGGGGTTGTAGTATTAACACTGGAGTTTTAATATTTTCTTAAAAGACACAGACACTGCTCCCTTCACTGGCTTCACATCTTCCACATCAAATTCAAATTGATTTTCCTCACTCTCAAGCTTCTGCAAGCTCTGTCCCTGCCAACATATATTCTTCTCTCACCTCAGGCTCTGCATTCAGCTAATTCTGCTTCCCTTCATGCCTGTTTTGTATCCTTCTAATATACTCACCTCTGTGTTTTTTCCCGACCTTTCTCTACACCACTATTATCCTCCTTGAGCCTTTATGTCCTACAGCCTCCCCAAAATGACCATCATGCTCCTGCCAAACTAATCAAATATAAATTAAGAAAGAAGGGACAAAATATGTACTGCATGAAAACCAGCAACTATTTAATCTTGTTTTGTGGAAAACCTCCCCCTGGCTAAATGGGTTTTCCTGTATCAGACCTTACCCAGTTTAGATTGTGAGCTCCTTGAGGCAGGAGATGTGTATTTATTTTCTCTGTACAATGCCATGCAGAGCTATGACATATATATATGTGTATTAAGTATGTCAATCTGTTTAGCTAAAACACTTATTAAATTCATTAAAATGCATAATAGGATAGCCCATATCCATTTAATTTTAAATATAAATATATATTAAAAATCTCTGCTGCTGAGAATTTTTAAAATAAAAATAGCTAGCTTTTATATGGGACTTCTAAAGATGAATTTGAGCTCCCACTGTTGATTCTAGCACAGTGTTATCTAATGAACAAGCACTACAACATATGCTATGCTAATGCAGAAACTTTGAAGTAAACATGAAGTTACATGTTCATTTTAAAAACAACGATGAGTCCTTGTGGCACCTTAGAGACTAACAAATTTATTTGGGCATAAGCTTTCGTGGGCTAAAACCCACTTCATCAGATGCATGGAGTGAAAAATACAGTAAGCAGTATATATATACAGCACATGTCACATGCCACAAGGACTCCTCATTGTTTTTGCTGATACAGACTAACACGGCTACCACTCTGAAACCTATGTTCATTTTAGGCTCACTAGAAATTGGGGGAAGGAAACAATTTGTAATTTAAAAAGGAAAAATAGGGAAAGACACTAAATTTAATCTTCAAAGTGGGTATTGCAAACTAAGGGTATGTCTTCACTACCAACATTAAAGCGCTGCCACGGCAGCGCTTTAATGTGGTTGTGTAGTCACGGCAACAGCGCTGGGAGAGAGCTCTCCCAGCACTGTAAAAAAACCATCCCCATGAGGATAGTAACTACTAGTGCTGGGAGCACGGCTCCCAGCGCTGGTGTACTGTCTACACTGCCATTTTACAGCGCTGAAACTTTCTTGCTCAGGGGTGTGAAAAAACAAGTGTAGACAAGGCCTAAGTGGGTTTTTGTTGCCATTTTTAAATGTCTTTCTTATCCTTTGCAATGTTGTAGCTGTGTGGGTCCCAGGATATTAGAGACACAAGGGGGTGAGGTAATATCTTTTATTGAACCAACTTCTGATGGTGAAAGAGACAAGTTTTCGATCTTACAGAGAGCTCTTCAGGTCTGGGAAAGGTACTCAGTGTCAGAGTTAAATACAAAGTGGAATAGACTGTTTAGCAAGTTAATTAATGAATACTGCAAGAGACCATTCAAAGTGTCTTGTTAACACCCCTGCAGTCATAGAATAAAAAAAGGATGAGTGTACCTTCAAAAGATGAGTCTGGAAGCTTAAATTAATAATTCTACTAGACACTAAAAATCATAGATTTAATAAAAACACTGGATTTATGACTTATTACAACACTATAAGCCACTAACTCCCCCAACACACCCTTTTTTTGTCCTATGGCTGCAGAGGCGTTAACTGGCCACTTCACCTTGAATGGTTTCTTATAATATGTGTTACCTACTTAGGCTAAACAATCTGTTCCACTTTGTATCTAGCTTTGACATTCTGAGTACCTTTCACAGACCTGAAGAAGAGCTCTTTGTAAGGCCCTGTCTATACTACAAATTTTGATTGACACAAGTTACATTGGGTGCGGGCTCTGGGCTGAGGCAGAGAGTTGGGATGCAGGAACGGGTGCAGGGGATGGGCTCTTGGAGGGAGTTGGGGTGTGGGCTCTGGCCTGGGCTGGGGTGGGGACTGGGGTTCAGGAGAGGGTGCGGGCTCTGGGAGGGAGTTAGGGTGCAGGCTCTGGGCTGGGGCAGGCAGTTGGGGTGTGGGAGGGAGTGCGGGGGACGGGCTCTGGGAAGGAGTTTGGGTGTGGGGTCTGGGCTGGGGCAAGGGGTTGGAGTGCAGGAGAGGGTGAAGGGTGCAGTGCTTACCTCAGGCAGCTCCTGACTCTGGTACCAGCTCCTAGGCGGGGGGATGGAGGGGAGTCTGCACGCTGCTGCCTGCAGGCACCGCCCCTGCAGCTCCCATTGGGCACAGTTGGCAGAGTCAGCACTGGGGGCAGGGACAGTGTGCAGAGAAACTGCCCCCCGCCCCGCAGGGGCTGCAGGGACATGCCAGCCACTTCCAGAAGCGGAGTGGGCGGGCAGGAAGCTGCTTTAGCCCCGCTGCGCTGCTGGTGGTGGTAGCAGGAGCCCCGAGCTATTTTAAATCTCCTGGGGGTGGCAGGCGGGGTTGGAGGGATGCTCCGGGGGAGGTATGCAGGGGCAGCAGGCGGGGCCAGGTGAGAGACCTGTCCCCAAACTTTGGTGGAGTCGGGCCCTCGTGCTCTCATATTGGTGGAGCATGGGCACCACAGGACCATACAACTCGCGGCACCTGATGCACACACAGTAATCGTTACAAGGTTCATACCAAGGTTAAAAAAAAAAAAGGGTAAACACATTACCGCAGTACACGTTACTGTGGCTCTCTGTTAAAATGTTCCTTCAAAGCCTCCCTGATCTGAATAGCTCTCCATAGAGGCCCTCTTACAGCCCTCGTATCTGGCTTCTCCAAAGCAGCAGACAGCCACTCCACTCCCAAGCTCCACTCCTAAGGAAACTTCTCCCCCTTTGATTCGTATATATTTTGAAGGGCACAGCAGGCAGCTATAACCATGGGGATATTTTCCTCGCTGAGGTCTAACTTGCTGAGGAGACAGCACCAGCACCCCTTTAAGCGGCCAAAGGCACATTCAACAGCAATTCTGCACCTGCTGAGCCTAGTGTTGAACCGCTCCTTGCTGCTGTGAAGGTGGCTGGTGTAAGGCTTTAGGAGCCATGGGAGCAAGGGATAGGCTGTGTCTCCCAGGATCACTATTGGAATTTCCACATCCCCAGTGGTAATCCTCTGGTCTGGAAAGAAAGTCCCTGCTTGCAGCTTTCTGTACAGACCTGTGTTCCTAAAGATGCATGTGTCATGCACCTTCCCTGCGTTGATGTCGGTGAAATGACCCCGATGATCCACTAGTGCTTGGAAAACCATAGAAAAGTAGCCCTTTCTGTTGATGCATTCTGTTGCAACATATCCCCCTTCATTGATGGGGATATGTATGCCATCTATCGCCCCACCGCAGTTAGGGAATCCCATCGCTGCAAAACCATCCACTATTTCACGCACGTTGCCCAGAGTCACAGTCCTTCATAGCAAGAGAAGATTAATGGCCCTGCACACTTGCATCGTTGCAACATCAACAGTGGATTTCCTTACTCCAAACTGATTCACAACTGATCAGTAGCAGTCTGGTGTTGCCAGCTTCCACACAGCGATCGCCACTCGCTTTTCCACTGTTAGTGCTGCTCTCATTTTGGTGTCCCAGTGCCGGAGGGCTGGGGTGAGTGCCACACACGGTTCCAGGAAGGTGGCTTTCAGCATACAAAAGTTCTGTAGCCACTGCTAGTCATCCCATACTTGCATAACGATGCGATCCCACCACTCAGTGCTTGTTTCTCAAGTCCAGTACTGAGGTCCACTGTGTGCAGCTGCTCCGTGAATGCCAACAGCAATCTTGAATTGTTTCTGTTCATGGCACACAGCAGGACATCATGGTGTTATCATTATTACAGTTTCAGATCATGAAATACTGCAGGATCAGGTGTGTTGTGTTTGTAATGCTCAACACAATACTGGAGAGCAGTGCAGGATCCATGCTTTCTGACAGAGATGGCGAGTGGGCAGTTTACCGGGGCTGTTGAAAAGCGATGTGAAATGTACTAGGAAGCCCATGGAATGATGGGATGGCGAAAGCTGCATCAGGGGACACTGAGCCTGCTCCCATGAGGCATTGCAAACCCTGCCCAGAACACCCTGCAACAGATGATGGCCAGTTGCACAGTAGGATAGCTACCCATGGTGCACTGTTCTCTGTGTTGAATCAAGTTACGTTATGGAGCATAGCTAATGTGACGCCAATTTTTAAAAAGGGCCCCAGAGGTGATCCCAGAAATTACAGGCTGGTAAGCCTGACTTCAGTATTGGGTAAACTGGTTGAAACTATAGTAAAGAACAAAATTGTCAGACACATATATGAACATAACTTGTTGGGAAAGAGTCAACATGATTTTTGTAAAGGGAAATAATGCCTCACCAATCTAATAGAATTATTTGAGGGGGCAACAAGCATGTTGACAAGGGGGATCCTGTGGATATAGTATACTTAGATTTTCAGAAAGCCTTTAACAAGGTCCCTCACCAAAGGCTCTTAAGCAAAGTAAGCTGTCATGGGATAAGAG